CATCCAAAAAAATTATCTCTTCAGCAATACAATACGTATCTCTCGCGAAATGAAGACACGTGGTTAGACGTCATCCGCTGTTTTGCTGACGCCATGTTTTTTATTTGCCCAGTCTATCCCTAATTTAGTCGCGTTATTTGTTTTCTTTTGGTCTAATTACTCCTTGCCTGACTGAACATTTTGTTTTCTTGTTGTGCAGCTATCATCAATACCTTCATCCCAATACCTTCTATTTCTGAATACAGTCAACATTATATTACTCTTCTAATCATACCTAAATTGGACACGCTGGGACTCATCCAGGGTACATGCACGGTGGCCACCGACGCTCTGGACTTCCTACCATACGGCTTCCCTCTTGTTTCTTAGACTACCGCCTCCTCTGTGACTTCAGCCTTTGTGTTAGTTGCTGACTAGCTAGAAGCCTAGGTATACGTTTTGGTGACTGGATCAATCCTCAGTCTCCAACTGTAATTTCTTTACCTTACCCTTATCCGTTTCTCTTCCAGCAGCTCTGCAATTTTAAGAATGTAAATTGCTGAGAGGTATACGTACATGTATATGGTTCAGACCCGCTCAAGCGTTCCAGTGCGAAATAAATTATAACTACTTCTGCAAATTGTAGAGCTTCGTGTCTCCCTATAAGCACAATTTGAATTTAGCAGCTCCATAACCAATTAACTGGTTTGCTGGGATAACCTGTAGTAAGAATGATCAATGTACAAACAAATCAGTTCCAAGGTTTTTCCTCCTCAGCCTGGTCACTGCGTGATCAGTGTTACTGTAACCTCCTTCGTCAGTTAAGGGATACAACCCCTTTATAATTCTGTCTTGAGTCATTCTATTCATTCATCTCAAAATTCCAGTAATACATAAATGTATCTTTTTCCTGGACTATAGTTCCCTTCCGCATATACACTAGGCGGTGATTTCTTCTGGAGTCTTTTTGTTCCCGTTTAGATTGTATTTGGAGTGTGGGAACAAAAAATCGGCAGGCTTTTTGTATGTTCTCTATTATTGGTATAGCAGCTGGTGGGTAGGTGTATCAGACTGCTCCTTTGGGATCCTGCAGTTCAACTCGTATACTCTATTATTCTTGTTTTGTGCATAATCATGATTATTTCAAAATATCCAACATTTTAGATCTATTGTATGACAAATATCATCAATACATGTCGGTGGATCTGCGCGATCATCATAAACTGGGAACTTAATAACTGGAATGACCCCTGCATTGACATTTATGACAGAACACGATACAAATCAAAGAGGGTAGTGCAACGTGATTAGTATGTAAAAAGCCGTACAGATAACATCAAGATAATCGCACTAATTTCTATTTTTTTTGTTGTCGTAGTCAAAACTCTGGTTTGACACTTAAAGGTTGTAATCTACTGCCCGGGCAGAAGAACCTTATGGATAGACTTTTCGGGCTATCTATCTATTTTTGTTTTTAGGTCTAGATAAATGCGACTCAAAATAATTTTATTTGGTATAGTAGAGCTTCAAATCTTGGGCTCTAGTTTCACGCCGTGGGTCAGCACCACCCGTTTCTGCTTGCGCTGCAGCGCTGTAGGATTTGCGCATCTTGTAGTTAACTGACCGATTGAGATGACTCTAGACAATTCTGAGATCTCCGATCGTTTTTATCACATAGTCAACAGGCTTTTTTGGGGTTGGAGCATTTCTAAATTGGTAAAACCATTTTTTACTGTACCTCCCTAAAATGTAGTTCATAGCTTTTTTTGAACTCATTGTACCATGTGCGAGCAGTTTTTTCACACATGAATTGAATAAAAAGGACCGTCTCTCTTATTTATTTTCTGGAAGGACTCCAATAAAGTAAGCAAAAACTCTCGATTATCCACAAAGTGTGATTTGAGACCTTGTCATGCTTTATATATTACAAAGATCAACAAAAGATAAGCTCAAATCGCACGCCCATGAAAATTGGGTTGTCGCACTGGCAAGACGAAACTAATAAACCAGTCTAGGTATATGATAACGCAATAAACGCCTATGCAAAGGGCAGATTGCATATGTATGTGTGAGGGATGAAAGTGATACCGGTTGTTTTACTGTGACCCGCCAAAAGTCCTGACCAGATCTATAGGTGTGTCTAGTATTGCTGGCTTTTTTTTGTGAGGGGGCAATCCATTTAGGCACCTTACCATAGCCCGAGCTACGGCATGTGTGGGACTCCAGGCTGTCTTGAGGAGACTACCTAATACCCATTAAACCCTAACCTTCGCCTGGCCCGACTCATCTGTCTCGGTAAGGCCATGTGTTGTGAGTGACCTGCGGTCTGCTACAACGTCTCCTCATGTGCTTCAGTCTTTGGGAACGCCGGCTTGGTTCCCTTTACCTCGCACAATTCTATCGATGTCGTTAAGCGAGCATCGATAGAGGGTCTGCTGCGTTCTCTTGGAACCCTTGTTTTCGAAAAATCATGAGTTTCAAGTCCTCTACCTGTTAATGTGTTGCCTGGTCCTGGTTGGTCCTGGTCTTGGCGGGTCCTGGTCCTGGTGGGTACTGGTCCTGGTTTGTCCTGTTTCTGGTGGGTCCTGGTCCTGGTGCTTCTGTGCTTTTTTCCTCATGTACTCGTGAATGGTGTCCCAATGCAGGTCTCTACGCAAGGTTGAGTTTCTTACGTAGGATGGTGCTGTGGTGGCGATCCGGAATAGCTTCGTCTCTAGAGCAGCAAGTCGCTTGCGGTAGCTGGGAGCAGCGTACCCCCTGACCGCGGAGGCATAAGCGAGCTGAGGTCTGGCGATGGCCTTGATGAGCCGTATCTTGGTCGCTAGCGGCATCCGGCTGTGTCTACCCCGTAATGGGTAGAGTTGGGCCATGGCTGCCCTGGTCTTTGCGATGACAGCTTCTATGTGATGTTTCCAATTGAGGGACTTGTCAAATACGATCCCCAGGTATTTGACTTTGACGTTCCACTGGATATCTTCATCGAAGAGGTCTTGCAATCCTTCTTCATTGGATGAAGATTGCCTGCGTCTTCTGGACGTTGATGCGGATTTTCCATTTCACGCACAAGTCCTGGATGTGGTCCAGTTCATCCTGTAGTATCCTGCGGACGATCTCGGATCGTCGATGCTTGGCGGCTATAATAGTGTCGTCTGCATATAGGGCCAGCATTGTGTCTGCTGTCACCGGTACGTCGTATGTGTAGATATTGTAGAGCAGGGGGGCTAAGGCTGACCCCTGGAGCACGCCTGCTTCCAGCTGTCTTCTTGTTGAGTGGCATGTACCAATCTCCACCGTGTACCATATTTGTGTTAGATAGCTCTGGATCAGTTGGCACATGGTTGTGTCGATTCCGGCGGCTTCCATTTTGGCGATGAGTCCATCATGCCAAACGCGGTCGAAGGCTCGTCCACATCCAGCAGGACGAGGCCGGTTGCCTCCTGGATATTGAAGCCACTGGTGATGAGTTCTGTCAGTCGTAGCGCTTGGAGTTCCGTGTTGTGGATGGATCTGAAGCCGAATTGCTCTGGAGGGAGAAGTTCCAGTTCTTCTGCCTGCTTCATTAGTCGAACGGCGATGGCCTTTTCGACTACTTTGCCTATTGAGGATACCAAGCTGATGGGCCGGTAGTTCTGAGGCAACTTCCGGTCCTTGCCTGGCTTGGTGAGCATTATAACCTGGGCTTACCGCCACCGCCGCGGCAAGTGGTTAAGTCTCAGAGTAGCATTGGCGATGTTGGTGAGCGCAGCAATGCCTTTGGAGGGCAGGTTCTTCAGCATCCGGTTGTTGATGCCGTCCTTTCCCGGCGCCTTTCTGACCTTCAACCTGCGGATGATCAGGCGGATTTCCTCTGGACTGGAGGGGTGGTCCGTCTCTTGGCCAGGTGGTCGACTCCTCATGGTTTCGGCTGCGACTTCCACGGCCTCCTCGTGGTTGTCGTCCTCGTCTTCATGGTAATTGAGTCTGCATTCGGATTCTAGCGAATCGGCGAAAGCTTCGGCTTTTTCTTCAATCGAATAGGCCAAGCCGCGTTGGCCGTGAAGTGTGGGGAGTGTGGTCTGCTGATGACGTAATTTTCGCTTCATAGTCCAGGCTCTACCACCCTGGGTCTCTAGTTTTGCTCAGACTGCATTCCATCTGTTGTTTTGGAGTTCCGCGGGTGCGTTTTTCAGAGCTAGCGATGCTCTGTTTCGCGCAATTCTCGAGTCCTCTGTCAACAGCTGGAGATGTTCTCGCTTAAGTCTTCTGTTCTCCCTGATCAGGTGCCTAATATATTGCGGTGCTGGACCATTTAGGTGTCTTGGAACTGCCGTAGTCTCGGAGTGAGTGCTGTCCTCGTGCACTAGCAGGACAGCATTCTCCAGCCCCTCTACTGCGTTGTCCAGTTCCTCTGCTGATCGGATGGTTGGAATTTGAGTGATATTCCTTTGGACGTTGGATTTGTAGCAGTTCCAGTTCGTCCGTTTAGTGGTCAAGCTATCTTGAGTTCCAGACCCTGTGCCAAGCGTTAGTAGGATCGGGTTGTGGTCCGACGATTCTTTCTCCAGGGTCTCTATCTCGAACTCCTCTCTGATGTTGCGGAGGATGGCTATGTGGGCGGCGTCCAATTTAGTTTCTTGGATGGTCATCACCTCTGGTTGGTACTGGTCTAATATCTCTTGGATTTTTGGTTTCCGTGCCCTGAATCCGTTGATGTTCCATGAGATTACACGTAGTGTTTCCACGTTTTGTCTTGCAGTCATTTGCTGGTCTAATGTTTGTCTTCCATCTTGACCTCGAGTGCATCTAGGCGAGTTATGATGGCTTGCATCATAGCTAGCAGTCTGTCTTCGCCGTGTTGCTTCTGCGCAGTAGTTCCAGTAGCAGTGGCGGCTGTTGGGGCAGAAGTGGACTTGGTTTTCTTCGTTTTTTCGGCGCAAGACGTACTATTCGAGGTGCAGGCTGCTTTGGGAGCGGCAGCAGCTTTCCTCGGGGTCTTACTACATCCTTTGTAGTTGGCTGGGTGTCCTTTTCCGCAAAGTCACTTCGTTGCCCTGTTGGCGGCGTCGGCAGACTGCAGCTGGTGCTGTTGTGGTCCTCTCCACACTTGACGCACCGTTCAGCGAGACGGCAGTTTCGCTGAGTGTGCCCGTACCTCTGGCAGCGGTAGCATTGGCTGGGCTCGGTCGACTTCTTTTTCTTCTCGAAGCTGACCGTGAGCATGGCCAGCCCCTGGATCTTCTGTAGCTTGTCCGCCATCTTCGTCTTCACGAGGAAGAGCGGTAGTGGCTTCTTGGTGGTCCTGGCCTTAATCTGCTGAGCTTCGGCGTCTGTGATACCTTGGTTCGCTAGATCTTCTTTGATGTCTTCGGTTGACATCTCCCTGGGCAGTCCTCGTATTACCCTCCGGTCCATCTTGTCCTCCTTCAGCTGGTACGTGAAGAAGGGTCTCTTCATGAAGTCCAGAAGGGTCACTAGCTGACGGTAGTCTGGTGGTGTATTGGTGAACACCTTCACGCTGTTCCCCGCCTTCCTCGCCTTGGAGAATTGAATCCCCTTGTTGTTGACCATCCTGCTTAAGGATGACCAGTCAGCGGTGCCCTCGATGTTGATAGGTGGAACTCCTGGGAGCCACGATGATCCTGGCTACTCTAGGACCCCTTTTCTTGGTGTCAGCTGGCATCTTTGGCTGCCTGGGTGACTCTTCTTCGGAGTAAAATCGTACTCATTTCCTCCGCCTGGTGGCGACACTGAAGTCTGCGTCATCCTTCTCGGCTGTCCTTTTCTGTGCTTCTGTGTCTTCATGTGCTTGTTGGCTTTCTGTGTCTTCTTGTGCTTGTTGGCTGTCCATTTCTTGGGAATCCATCTGACGTAGGCTGCTGGTCCTCGTCTTCTTCTTCTTGGGTTTTCTTCGCCTTCCTCTTGGCCCTGAGGAGCTTCCCCTTGATCTCTTCTCTCTCCTTTTTTGCCTGCAAAAAGGCTTCTTATTTGCTCTGCGAGCATGGTGAATGCATCTTCCTTTTCTTCAGCTGGCTTGCCAGCTTCTGGATTTTTGCCATCGTAAATAGCACAGTCCAATCGTATTGGAATAAAAATCGCAATAGGATCGCACGATAAGTCCGAGTGGGCCGCAGTCGCACAAGTGTACCCTCGCAATAGCTGTTAGCTCGGAACTGTGTTGCTGGACGGTCGCAGTGAAACTATATGTACCAGTTCCATATCTCCATTCCCCTCACCCATACACATGCGGACTGTTTTCTGTTAAGCTTATAGACGTAGGGTTTTCAAATCTGTCTTACCTCATAGAAATATTTCGTGACGTATTAATGTTCAGCAACTGCTTATCACTGTACATGTGACAACTCTCTGATCATAAGCATGCAAACTGAGTTTATCTTTCATTGAGTTTCGATATAATATTTATATACCATATATTATGACCGGAAATACAATAATTGGTACACAATGTCGACAGATTGTGCTAAATTTGTTTACAAAAGCCAAATAAAAGCAACAGTAATATATCACATACAGCATGTGCGTGAAAGCCGATGGTACAACTACTGATCTCTTATTTCGTGTGAACTGATGCGTAACGGCCAAAATCGGTGAAAAGACACTTCGTTTCATAAAAATATTCAAGTTCAACAAACTTTGTTGAATCACGAATTATACCACGAATTTGTAAATCACGTTCAAATACTCCTCTGCAGTCTTGTAAATTCTCCCGACGTGGACACAGAATCTCCTAATTCCCATCAACCTACGGTTCGTTTTATGCTCATTCAAGTTGTTTGCGTCTCCGCGGTTGGCTCCTGAATAGGCCCAATTATGATAGAATAGAGTTCCCGGCCAAATTATACATGTATATCTCTGTATGTAGATATATAGATATCAGCTGAATGCCCCCAGCAAAGGTATTTTTAGCTTTTTCATTTGAGGTCGGCACGTTTTACAGTTCACACAGTGGTGTGAGCTGCAACATCTCTGTATCTAAATAGGAATATTTGTTTACCTTCTTCCGATGAAGAGTAGCCCATACAAAATACAGCAATAAACATTGCAAGCTTGCAAGAATTCCCACAGAGCTGAAAATTGGTATACACCATTACGAATAACATAACAAGCTCCTCATATATTCTTGGAGCGGAACCTTGATTTATTTGGGTTGTAATGCCAAAATATCACGTTTTGTCATATTTCTCTAGAAAGGAAGGAGATATGACAAAAATACCTTTCACAAAAATTGTAGAGAATAGAATTATAGAAAAATATTGTTCAAGTACTTATATTCTTGAAGTCACCATTTAGTTTAGTGATCTGTAGACTCACAGGTACTCTTCTGCTCTTATGTGGCATATACAGGGTGCGGCAGAGAGGATGGACGGTTTTAAAAAAATCATAAAATAGCTAATTTTTACTCGAAAACAAATTTATTGATGGAATCAGGTTCACAAGGAAATAGCATTTGAGACAGTCAAGTGTGGAAAATCACATCAGGCATGTGGTGGCCGAAATCGTTGATGCAGTTGTGGAGGCGTTCTTGGAAGTTCGCGTAGACTCTCTCCAACATCGCTCTCTCAACATGGGCGACTTCCACGCGAATTTCGCCCTTCAGTTCATCCAGAGTTCGGAGCTTGTTCGCGTATACTCTAGCCTTGAGGTGTCCCCATAAGAAAAAATCGCATGTGGATAAATCTGGGGACCGAGGAGGTCAATGAACATCGCCAAACCTGGAAATAAGGCGACCAGGGAAGAGAGGGCGAATAACGTCCATGGATGCTCGGGCTGTGTGGGCGGTCGCTCCATCCTGCTGGAACCACGCACGTCGGATTGGAACTCGTCGCCGTCATAATTCAGAGAGAAAGAAGTTGGTGATCATGTCGACGTAGCGCTCTGAGTTCACGGTAACATCACGACCATTACCGTCTTCGAAGAAGTAAGGTCTAATGATGAAAGTTTGTGATACAGCGCACCAAACCGTTACTTTTGGGCTGTGCAGCGGTCTTTCGTGTAACTGTTGCGGATTTTCATTAGCCCAATAACGACAATTCTGTTGGTTAACCATGCTGTTTAGGTGAAAGTGGGCTTCGTCACTCATAGGCGAAAACGCGGTGCTCCACCGCCCAAAGCTCCATAACGACAACTGATAAAATAATGCTAGGATCTCACGAGTCAAACGGCACCCTCCCCCCCCCGCTCGTAGACGGAGGCGGAGAGTACTACCCATCCCAAAAACGTCCATCCTCTCTGCCGCACCCTGTATTATGTGCACGCCATCAACCGTTCGATATGAACATATATGAGGAATCATTGGTGTATGCAAAATAGCAAAATATACTAAAACAATATCACTTATACAGGGTGTGCTAAAAACAGAGTGTCAATGATTCTTCTAAAAATGCATTCCGTGAGCAACTAAAGGTTCGTATGCGAAACAACTGAACGAGAAATGCATGAAAACTCATAAAACCAGGTAATAGGATACCATTCAAACATACGATACCACTAGTACTTCTCAAGATGCGCTGAAAAATAAATGAAAAAATCTCAGTTACTTGAAAATTGATTCAGACGTTCAATATGTTATTGCAATTTATATACCTATATAAAAAGTGTTCGACAATCCCTGGACGCAGAATTTTCTATTGGAGGTTACATATAAAAATTACCATTTTAGTTGTAGAGGATGCAATTCTGTATAAAAGTTGCCCAATTGCTTTTTTTGTGAACCGCTATTGATGCGTTCTTTGGATTATAAAATCTAAGCTACTGCTACGGCGCATACGCTGCGGCACGGTGTAAAGAGTTTTTTGAGTCTGCTATTGCAAGTCATATATTCCTATCGATACATTTAACGCATGTATACTTCCCATTTAAGATCAAATGTAATGAAAGGATTGTAACCTATTTCTTGAGCTAGTCAACATAAAAACGAGTCATATGAAGTTTGTAGAACAGGTAGTATAACTATAACTTGTCATTTATGCGGCATTTTCATGAATACTTTTTGTAACGTATTCATCACTGCTCTGAAGAGAATCAAATGTCTCTGTAACTACAAATCTGTAGAGACAAAATGTTTTAGTCATGATTCAGAAAAGTATCCATCTTCAGCACCTAGCTCCAATTGGACATACCTTGTACACTCTGATGTCATCTGTTCTAACAATCGGTCGAATAACATCAGTAGAGATCGGAACTTCAGTGTTCTATAGTGTTGTTCCTAGATCATCAGAACTTGTTACTGGTGATGAAAGAAATTGCAAAATATGAAATGAGCTCAATACCTGTTCAATACAGTAATAATGAAAATATTGAAGAAACTGAATCATCATCATTCAATGGAAAACTAAGATTTTGTAATTGTTTTTCAGAGACACTAGCATATTTTTCGTAAACCTTGTATAAGTGATATGGTACCTCGTTATTTGAGTTTTCAAGCATTTCACATTAAATTTTTTTGTAGACAAGTCTTTGGTTCCTCATGGCATGCACTTTTTGACACGCCCTACATAAGTGGTGTGAGCTTTAGTCGACGCATACTTAAATGCTCCCACATATAAGTGGATATTGAATTGTCGATGGCACAATAATATAATACATGCCGAGGAAAAGCGGAAGAGTACTCGTATCTGAGGGTCCTCAGATCACTAAATCTCAAAAGGAACTTTTATAAATAATTTATTGTATTGTCTTTCTCTAAAATCCGCTTTAAGGATATATGAGGAGTTCTGTACCGATTTCCAGCTTTGTGGGAATTTATGCAAACCTCATTTTTATCTTGACTGGATTAGAAGGTGATAATAAATAGGAATATCCATTAGAAGGACCGAAAGACCCTTTCTTTCACACTTTCTGTCCACAACATCGTAGACATTCAGCATAATGCTAATTTGCGTCACTGGAAATATTCAGGATGATCCCGAGGTTATGTGAGATGGGCAATTCTTTGTAGTTTCCGGAGACTGTTGTGTTCTTTGATGATTTTCGAAGTATCCCTTCGTTTCACATACATCTGGATAGTGCTACTGTGTAGTGGTTCGATACATTTGTATGTATGTATAGTGTGATTGGCGGTTGTTAAGGACATTGAGAGGGAAACGTCAGCGATAAGGGGAGTAGTAATTAATTGATGGGATATGTTTTTGGAATGTACAACTAAGAAATAATTAAATCTGTTTCCAACGGTTGGCTTTATTGGAAGGAAGTGGTGGCCCACGACTTGTAAAAAGTGACACGAGAGAAATCTACGAGTTGATCTGTATCAAGCAGAAATGTCTAGTCGACAAAAGTCGAAGCCAGAGGGACTTCTTTACATACTAGAACTATAACATGGAAGTTATCTTTATTTCACATCTTACATTTTGATTTTGACAGAGGAGAATGTCGCGAGAGAAAGAAAATTTGGACCACAAGCTTAATAATCGTAATAGTTAAGAGAATATTGTAAAGCCGTTGGCCCACTTATAAGCCGGCATCTCTAGTCTTGTGGTCAAGTTGGAATAAAGTTATAGAAGTATGGTTACAAAAAATGCATCGCAAAGCGTTCTGGAGGTAAACACTGTGTT